TGATTGTGTGTAGTTATAAGGCTATAAGGCGCATGTTAGAAGGGCGTTGGTACACGTGTGAGAATTTCAGATGCAGCGTCTCTGGGCGTAGGATGTCGATGAACATCATGCGCCAAATTCATTGGCTGCAAACGTTGCTCACAAAAGGAGCTGCATGCCCAGTTTGGATGAAGAGCTTTTCTGTCAGGGTTCAGGCTGAATGTTGTCGTTCAAACGAATATACTAGAGTACGCCCCAAAATCCAATTGAAATCCGTAAGAACCTTCTGCGTGAAGCCTGTTGAACCATATACCATAAACCAAATTATTCAAATGCTCATAACTTAGACTCATAACCCTAAACCTCAAACTAAAACCCCAAGACCTAAACCCCAAGCCCTAAACCATAAACCCCAAGCCTTACACCCTAAAGCGACCAATGTCTTCGAGATCGCAGCTCCAGGGTGTTTTTGAGTAGATACACAGTGGGGTTATTGTTTATACTTGTATGTGCCCGGATGCCAACAAAAAAACAAGTTTTCAAGATCAACTAGGATGGCAATGGCCAAGACGATCAAATCCTAAACCCTAAACCGTTGATAGCAATGCAAGAGGGAACAAGCCGTTGATGTCTATTCTCCTGCTGGTGCATGTCTGCAGGTTGCTTGAAGCCTCCCTGCCGCCTACGAGCGGCCCCGACAAGACTGCAGATGAGAGAGGGCATGATGCTGCCATTCCACACTCTGACCTGTGACAGTTTAGGGTTCGTGTAGATGTATTCCTGTATCATCCGGATACTTTAACGCATTGAGGATGCTCTGTGTGCTTGCGCTTGCCATGTTGCGGCGGCAGTTGGCATTCTTTTGACTCTCCCGAGGGCTCCACGTACCTATATAGAGACCATGAAGCACCTATATAGAATCGCCTCTGAGGCTTTAGTTTACTATGTACTATACAAAGCAACAGGTACATGGAGCCAAAGGGTCTGGTAGCGGTTGCCATGACCCTTAGCATCAAAATAACCCAAAAGCCTTATATAATAGGGTCTTTGGGCCCAAAAGCCTTAAAATATGAGTCCTTAGAGTCCTAGGGTGAGGACTTTGACTCCTAGGGAGTTCCCAGTTCCGCGAGATGTCTCGCATCATCAACTGGGACTCCAAGCTTTGGGTTGAAGCTTTAGGGTTTAAGGGTTGAAGGTTTAGGGGGTTGAAGGTTTAGGGTTTAGGGTTGAAGGTTTAGGGTTTTGGGTTGACGGTTTCGGGTTTAGGGTTGAAGGTTGAAGGTTTAGGCTTGAGGGTCGAAGGTACCCTAAGACTCGAAATATACACATATATAGGAGCTATATATTCGGTTACTGTCCCACAAGCCCTGCAACCTAGTATCTTCCTACGTAGGCAACTGGGCTGCTAGGGAATGGTGCATCCTTTGGATCTTAATAGTCTACAGCTAGTACTTAATACTTGGGCTATTGGAGTCTTCTGGATAGACCGTCGTGCAGCAGTGGGCGTTCCGCCATGGAGCGGCAAGGGTTCACCAACGAAGAAAGGGGTAAAACAAAATCAACTCGATTTAGAAGGCTGTACAGCTACTGATACTTTTCTTTATGGTTCCTTTTTCTCCTGATTTATTATCATGAATGTCACAGCTGAACCTTGTTTAACGTTTCGTGCATTACGAGGCCCTGGAACCACCAAGGATTCACCCCTGACTGGCATCTTCTTTCTGAGTTCGAACCGAGCAAGTCAATGGGTCTCTTTGCTGGATTGTCTGGTAAGGCATTTGTTAAATCTCACATTTCATCCTAATTACGTCCTATCCCTGCAACACATATGCAGTTTTCTAGCACCATGCAGGGTTCAGGTGCTACTTCAGTGTCTTAGCGAGATCGCCCCAAAGTTTCATCTCGTGATCCGAAAGCCAACGCGGGAACCTGTCAGAACCCAGCCCTCTTTTTTTCAAGGACCGGTTTAGGGTTTAGTGGTTCAGGGTTTAGGGTTCAGGGTTTAGGGTTCAGGGTTTATAGGGTTTAGGGTTCAGGGTTTAGGGGTTTCGGGTTTAGGGGGTTCAGGGTTTAGGGTAGACTACTCGGGTGTCCTGCTTATGGGGGCTTAGGGGCTTTGTCGGGATGAGAGTCAGGCCATGGGACCAAGCAGCTATCGTTTTGTGAACCTAAGCCCTAATGTCGGGGCCTTAATAATTAGAATAGGTTTTGAATTTGGGGGATCCTTATTATAATTATAGTATGCTATACCCCTCCAAACCCTTTTCTAATTATTAAGGCCCCTACATTAGATCCCTGACCTGTCAAGCAGAAGAGGCTACGTCACGGCTATTTCGGCTTCTGGGTGCACAGGGATTAAGAGGTTCCTGCTTGGGCTTTAGGGCTTTCAGGCTTCATTCTAGGGGTACTCCTAAACGATTGTGGGTCAGTGTCGTCCAGGTTTTGAAACGGAATCGTGAAGACCTAAATGGTTGCGGCGTTTCTGTAGCGAGCTCCGCCGATTTCACCTCCGATCCGATCCGAGTGATGTTTCAAGGTAGGTCGAAAGGCCGCCGATGTAGAGTGAATCTCATCTCAGCCCGCGAAGAAAAGTGGCGATGTCTTCTGGTCCAAACTTTATGACCAAGGATAGTCCCCGCACTGCAACACTGCGAGCATCAGGCCCTTAGCCTTTTTCAATCCCTGCTGAACGATTTGGACTACTAACTAGCCCTAGATCATCGTGGCACCCGGCTCCCATGAACGAATGGAATCACAGGATCACACGTCTCTCTTTTCAAGCACTTCCTGCATGAACTATCCGGGTCATGAACCACACCCTCAACCCTGCACCCATTCACTTACTTGTAGGATTTAGGGTTCAGGCCAACGGAGGTTGTAGCCTGTTTGCATTCACTCGCCATTTGAGCATAAATGCTTGCGCCCACAACCACCCATGGTGTTCCTTGATGTTCCATGCAAAGGCTTAGCCACTTCACTTAACATAAGGGGTCTCAACCAAGCCGGAATCTACAGAAACATCCCAGCCCAAGTTCTTTAAAGAGATTCTGAGCTCAGTTTTAAGGTTTGGGAATTCGGACCAGTGACTTTCACAAAGGTGTGTAGAATTTCGCTTGCGGTGTTTCGGCAAGTGTGAGATGCAATTGCTCCTGCAGGGCTCTTTGGCGCTATTCTGTTGTAAAGGCTGCAATTACCTAGGGGGAGACGAAGAAAAGGGGAATATCTAACCTTTACACCGATGCCGGAAGCGCCAAAAAACCCAGTACAGGGGCCATCAGTAATTTTAATAGTTAGAATGGTGCTGGGGATACGTTGTGCTATATTACACAGGGGCCAGAAGGGACTATTATTTGTAATGGCTCATGCATACCGCTACCGGTCGATGGGAACTAACCAAAACTGTTAGATGTGTTTGGGGTAGCTCGTCTATTTTGCCAGTCTCCACTTCATTCCCCCATGTGGGCTGACTCCAAGCAAGGCATCTGTCGTCTATTGAACACCCCCAAGCCCAGCAACCCTAAACCCTAAACCCTAAGCCCGAAGCCCTGGAGTGTGAGTGCTGAAACCGTAAGCCCCAAGCCTTCTCGTGGACGATAGCATTGTAAACGACTGCTTCGTGGGGCTTCAGAGCTTCGTTGGTTCTTGATTTGGGTTGGTTTAGGGTTTAGGGTTTAGGGTTTAGGGTTCCCAGACTTTCCTATATCCCTTGATGGAGGAATATACCTCAGGTTACCGTTGGACACCTAGTATGATTTACGGCATATTCCTCAGTCACGGGATATTGGAAGGTTTGGGATGCAAAAGGGTCTGGGGGTGGGGGGTAACGGTGTGGGGTCTAGGGCTGCTGGCTGCTGCATGCAACTTTCTGTGCCTTCCAACATATCAACATACAGTGGGTGATCTTGGAATTCACTGGGTCCTCTAAACCCTAAACCCTAAACCAAGCCCTAAACCCTGATGCAAGAGCATGAACAATTGCCAAAACCTCTCCTCACAGCTCCTTATGACAACTTTATCCGCCACTAAGGCGCTAAGCCCAAGATTCTAAAGTAGAAAGGTTGACACTTTCGTAGGAACTTAAAACCCTTACACCCCAAAAGTCCGATTCCCTAGAACCCTAAAACCCGAACGCACAACCCTTTTAACACCAAAGCTCTAAAACTCCCCAACCCTAAACGTCGAAACCCTAAACCCTAAACCCTAAGCTCTAAACTGAACTGCGGCCTGTTGGTTCTAACCAAGCACTGGCCCGAGCAAGCGAGCACCTACCAGAAGCCTGGAGTGAAGCAGACGCCACTCCCGCAACATGGCCAGCAGGTGGCCACTTGTCTTCCAAGTTTAGGCTCTAGGGTTTAGGGTTTAGGTTCAGAGTTCCGCGTTTCGGGTCTTGCTTCCAATAGGTGGCCTCTTGTCTTCCAAATTTTGGGCTACCCTGCGCCCTGAGCCCTTACCTAACCATGGCCGGTAGGTGGCTACTTGTCTTCAGAGAATAACCTATAGTCTCCATTGTTCCTTTTTGGGTTTACCTTTTAGGACCCTTAATATAGAATTGGCTACACCAAAAAAATGAACTACAATGGAGACTATAGGTAGGTATCACTAAAGTGTCACAACGAGTTGCCGCAGAGATTGGGCTGCTCAGAGTTTCGGGGGCGCTTAAGTGTATTATTCTCCACGTTCGCTTCCTAATAGGGTTAAGGGTTTAGGGTTTAGGGTGGAGATGTTGGGTTTAGTAGGCATTATGAGTTGGAGAGTGCCGCTGCTACAATGAACGCGCCTCTCTTTATGCATCGTGTCTGGCACAGACTCCTGGAGTCCTAACGGACCTGCCGTCTACAGCTCCATGCAACAAGCTTTGTTCCTCCCAAACCTTCGACCGCCGACCACAGCCCGTAGGAATCCGGGCTTAGCGCTGACACATTGTAAAATATTTCCGACACAATCAATCCGCAGTCCTAAAGTAATCGAGCCACCCATAGCCACCCGGAATGTTGAACTCAAAGCCAAAGCCATTGTCCAGGATGGAGGAGTTTGCTGGAACACCGGACCTCGCAGCCAAGACCCGCTTGGAGGACGTTCAACAGCTGAAGCTCGGCACATGATCAGATACATGGATATGGCCCATGTTCGTTACAACAATAGTACAAGATGCAGACACGGAAAACCAAACACACACACACACACGCACACAAAACATAACACGCAATGCAGTGCATATATGGCACATGACTTGAAGCTTGCTTGCCCGTATGCATGCACTACATTCAGCACACGTGTAGACAAGTTCTCACTTCTGTGTTTGCATGTATTGTATGTTACGTTGTAACGTGTAAGTGCCACACCCTGCCTGGTCGTGCCGCACAAGCCCACCACGCATGTCTGGATACACCGGCAACCATGGACATGCTCATGCTGGCGAGGGACGTGCACATGTATACATATACATATACATATACTTATATGTATATTTATGCATTTATATTTATATTTTTACTTATTTGTTTATATGTGTACACTATATATATATATATGTGTGTGTGTGTATACATATATATATATATATATATATAAATATGTAGGTACATGTATCTGTTCGTTCTGAGCCCCTTGATTCCACGTGCCGAAGAGCTAAGGAAGCGAGGCATCAGTGTCATCGCCTCCCTTGTCCGTCAGTCCATGTCGAATGCTCCCGACGTGAAGGGTGCAAAGAAGACGAAGGTCATCAAAGGCCGTGAGAGTTGGGTCGCAGGTTTGTTGCGGAATCAGTTGTCGCTGGACCTTCCACTTCTGATCCATCTTTCGCTTGGAAGCCCTGCGCTCCATAACGTTACTGAAGCGGATGACTTCGGTTCCGGGACTAGTGACTTGAGCGGTGGTGATGGTGCTGGAGCTGCTGTTCTGCTCGAAACCAACCCCGACTTTCGACCTAGAGGGCAGAAGCATAGAACGAGTGTTCGCTTTTTCGCAGCAGCTTCCGCAAGTCCAGCCCGAGCATTCGCACAGTCTCGACGGAACCCCGAATCCGAAGCCCAAAACCCTGAAACGCGAAACCATGCCAAAAACCCTAAACCCTGACCCCGAACCCAAAGCGAAGCTGACAAAAGGCGGAGCTTCTAAGAGGGCGGCGGCAGGGTCGAAGGCCTCTCCGAGTGACTGGGCGCAGGTCTAAAAGTTTAGATTTGAGTGTTTCGGGCTCTGGGGCTTCATGGGGTTTAGGGTTTAGGGGTTTAGGGGTTTAGGGGTTTAGGGTTTAGGGTTTAGGGTTTAGGGTTTGGCAGCTTTCGAACCCTAAGCCCAAAGCCCTAAACCGACGCTTCATCCAGACACGAAATGGGGCCCCAAAAAAAAAACTAAACCCTAAACCCTAAAACCCAAAACCTTTCAGGGGCTCGGGGCCCACTCTGGCGATTACCCATAGGCCCGCTTCATATTTAGAGTCCTATAAGGTAATCCCAAAAAGGAACTACTATGGGGCCCCCCTAAACCCTAAACCCTAAACCCTAAACCTTATGGGGCCTATGGGTAGGGTGGCTTCGTGACCTGAGGAGTTTTGCTTTGTCGGGGGCCTCACCGGCCGGTTCGGAACCCGGGGCCGCTGTAAGGCATATTTTGATGCTGGACACGATTGAAGTCTAGGGGTCTGATTTAGGGTTTAGGGTTTAGGGTTTAGGGTTTTTGAAGTAACATCTGATCTTAGGGGTACTTAGAAATAATGTTTAATTTTTGGCTACTGTAAACCCTAAGAAGCAGCTAAAATTATAATTGTTGCTAGGGGTCTAAGTTCAGTATAGTGATTTCTAGTAACAGTAGCTCCATCTAGCCTCTATGCAGGTAAAAACCATTTTGAGATGTTAGAAAATTGAGTTTACTTCCGCTTGAGGGCTTGAGGATGTGCAAGGCATAAACAGGTAGCAAGCATCCGGTAGCATTGTTTTAAAGGGGTTTTCAGCCTCTGAGGTTCGGGCCTTATAGGCGTTTAGGAGTTTCATGTTTAGGCTAGCGGCTGAACTGTTTGTTGATGAGTTTGGATGTGCCGGAAAAACTGGTGCGGTGCAGGGTGCAGCGTGCAGCGCGAGTTATTGCAGTTCTAGGAGGTTCTTCCTTGTCAGGCGCTGATATTCTAAGCAGGTCTTAGATTTGTCTGACATACTGGTGTTGCCCAAGCTTTTCTACACCTTACAGAAGTGGTATGTGTGTTCGTGAAGGATATCGAACGGTAAGCCGGTTTGATCTGATGCAGTTGCTTTGAACCCTACTAGACCGGTCGTGCGCACGCGGACATTGCAGGTCTCTTGTGGGTTCTCAGTCATGGCGGAGCCCAATGCTTGGGCTAACCCTACCCATAGGCCTAAAGTAGTTCCTTTTGGGGGTTCATATATAGAATCCTATAAGGTAACCCCAAAAAGGAACTTCTATGTGGCCTAAGCTCTGGGTTGCTATCTTCACAAACATCTTCCAGGACAAGGGCTTCGGGTTTCTATTCCGAGGCAAGAAAGTCGCCGCGCCAGTGAAGAAGGCAGCGCCCAAGGTGAAGCCGACGATCCGAACGACGAGATCCCAGGACCTGATGTAGAGTACACAGACCCTAAACCCTAAATCGTATGATAGCGGGGAGTTAGATTGTTTTCACGCCTGAGACCTCGCCTGGATTGTCCGAGTTGTGAGAGTGTAAATCGTATGATAAGGGTCTTCTGGGGGATTTATTGATCCTTGATTCAGGTCCTGACATCATCCCAAGGTTCAAGGCGCATTCCCGAATTAGGGGGCTTGGGGTTCTTTTCGGAGACAGGGAGTTGTAGGTTCCCCGCAGCAATAGTGGTTTTTGGGGCTAGGATCATAAGGACAACTGCCGTAGTACCAATGACACTGGACCATCGTACTTGTTATTGTCCTAAACCCTACACCCTAAACCCTAAGCCCTAAACCCTAAACCCACACACAAGCTAGACCCAAGAGTTCTGGGGGCTTCGGAGGCGCCGAGGAGCCAGGGGAGGCTATGAGCTCTTGCAGGCGTCGACTTTTTTGTCTCAGCTCTGCAAAAGCAAAGTCCATCATCTTTTACTTAATTTACTTGTTTCCTATTCCTGGATCCTAACATAAGAGAAGGGTTTCACCACAACAAAAAGAGCCGCAGTTGCATGGGGTCCGTCAGTGTTGGGATTGGCCTGCTGAACTTACACTTTGTTCTCCAAATCTACCGTACGGATCGAAGCAGCCCCGAAACCCTAAACCCAAATCGAAGACCCTTACTGTAAACCTAGAAGCCCTAAAACCTAAGCCCAAAAGAGCACTTATAGATGCTGTATAGAAACCCTCATGGTTCCTCTTAGGGGAGCCCAGAGATTGCTGCAAGTTGCTCAGGAGCAGCCCAAGCCCGTCGGCAAAGGAGGTGCGAAGGGGCAGCATCCGGCATTCGCCCGAATTGAGCAGAAGTCGCCACTCGTCTTCTTCAGGGTCTTACTTGTCCCATTCCCCTATAAGGGTCCATGCGCCCAAATAGTATGTACTTTGGCCTGCAAGTAGTCCCTATATATGTACTTTGGGGCCAAAGTATATACTACTTGGGCACATGGACCCCGAGGGTGCCAGTTGTTTTTGTTTAACTCGTATGGTGTTTTAATCTGCGGGAGTCTGAACAGTTACTTGGGAATACTACTTACCTGGCCCCCTGTCACACTACAAGATGCCTGCAAACCCTGCCGTAGATTATGAAGGCTCCCGTATTACTTCCCATTCACTCTGGGATTAGATTTGAAGTGCCCGTGTTGAGGCCGTGGTTCATGCAGAAGTAAATGCCCCAAGCCCCAAGCCTCGATTTCTCTGTTAGAGTTTTCGGGTTCAATATGAGCACATTCCTCGACAGCAAGCCCGCCGGACTCTTTCCACCGCACGTGTTTTTCCTTTCTCTCAAATTTGGATCCCAAGCAGAAACCTGAAGCCTTAAACCTCAACCCCAAGCTTGTAGGAAGACATGAACCGAAACCCTGAACTATCTCTGCACCCTCTCAGAAGACCATAACCTCAAGGAACAACAGAACCTGCTCCCCTCGGTCAGCGCAGTGAGAGAAATTCTTCCCCCTCCATTTTCTCTCATCATGACCATCCAATCTGGGCTGTTGGGATTCAGGATTACCGTCAAAAAAGAACGTATGGTATTCAGAGGATCAACATTGCGAGTTTCCAGTAGGAAAACTCTAGTCAGGCTGCGTGTCATTGCTATCCCTACAATACCTATAATAAGCAACTTACTGAGCCATCTAAGCATCTTAGTCAAGTTCAAGATTGTGCCCTAGGACGTCTAATCTCATCTGGATCATGGACGGGGTGACTCACGGTCTTGTGGTGGGGCTATGACTGGAGGTTTAGGGTTTATTGCGCATGGTTCTCCGGCATAAAGCCCAAGGACGACAGTCGTATTCTGTGTCTGCTTGGGCCAACTTCCTGCCGCACTGGGGTACAAGATTCAGGGCTTCAATTCTGTCGGTTGTGGTTGTGCTGTTTGGTTGTTGTCGATGGTGTGGCGGGGGCAGGGGGTTGAACGAGGAGCTCAGGTGGCGGTTCGGACTTTGCAAACCCTGGGACCTTGATACTGAAGACTCGAATCTCGACAACACAGCAGGCCGAACACCTGCACAGTAAAATCGCGCAAGCCAGTCTAGGATCAACGGCCCTGAACCCTCGACCGCATGTCGTAGCTTCACTCAATCTGATACCATGGCCTGTAAAGCAGAAAGATCCCTAAAGCCTATAAGCCCCAAGCCCAGGAGGGGCATCACCAAGCCGGATCTGAGGTGCGAGCTTTGTCTTCCGACCTTATGCCCTTATGCGCGAGAATATTCACAGGTCTTTGCATAGTTGCCAGTAGCAGTAGTGATATCAAACAAAACCGACATGAATATCTAAGGTGTATACATATATATATATATATAGTATGTACACATACATGCATGCATACATACCTGAATACATACATGCATACATACATACATGCATGCATGCATGCATGCATGCATGCATGCATGCATACGTGCAAACAATACATACATAAAAACATACATGCATACATACATACATACATACACACACACACACACACACACACTCTCTCTCTCTCTCTCACTCTCTCTCCCTCTCCCTCCCGCTTGCCATACCTAAAAAGTCATAGGCTCAACTATACCCAGTCCTGCAAACTCTGTCCGCGTTCAATTGGTCTATACAAATAACTGCGGGACGCTATTGAATCGGTGTTTGTTTCAACTTCAACCTGTAGGAGGTCCTGGAAGGCCTTTTTTATTTCTATTTGCATTTGAGGGTTGGTTTGGCTTTCTCAAAAAGGCGAAGTCGGACGCTTCGCCACGCTGCCTTAATTACGAAGGCTACTTCGGACTTGGTACCAGGCCTTTTGTGTCCTAGGGCCGAGGGTTTGCTCGCAAGTTCGGCTAGACAAAGACAATCATTGTGCGCGACAAACCGCAGTGGCGAAGAGGAATGGCCGTGCTAAACCCTGAAACTTGAAACCTGAACCCTAAACCCTGAACCCTAAACCCTTTGTTGGGTTCTCCCATATCGGGCACCTCGGGCTACAGAAGATGACAGATACTGGGCATGTACATGTAGCAAGCTCGGGACGTCGCCTTGCCATGGCTGCTTCGTGCGAGTGCGTGAGTCGAAACCCTAACCCAGACCCCCAAATGATCTAAAACATAGATCCCCTAATTAGGGACCCTACCTACTAAAGGGTACTTTATAGGAACACCCTTAGGGGACTTTTTTTTTTTAGATCCTTTTGGGGGTCTGGGAAAGGGTAGGGAGAAGCCCAAGGATTCCCTAAACCCTGTAAGCTCTCCTCGCCGGTCCCGTCACGGGCTACAGCGAACTCACCACGGTTTAGGGTTTAGGGTTTAGGGTTTAGGGTTTAGGGTTTAGGGCCCTGGAGCCCCAAGAAAGGCCCGAAAGTCCTTCGCTACCGGCTGTTACAGGGGTTCTGTGCCGCACCAAACAACCAGAAGGATTCCGGAAGCCCTAAACCCCAAACCCTAAACCCTAAAACCATTAACCCTAAACCCCTTCGCTTCGAGGTTGAGGGGTTTTGGGTTTGAGGTGCAGGGAGGGCTGAAGACCCTACCTATAGTCTCCATTGTAGTTCCTTTTTGGGGATGCCTTATAAAATCCGTAATATACATATATATATATATATATATATATATATTTTATATATATATATATATATATAATTGGTTAAACCAACAAAAGGAACTACAATGCAGACTACAGGTAAACACTCAAGCCTGATCTCCAGAGCACTGATGGCTTGTCTTATCGTAGTTGTTACCCAATCTTGCCGTTCAGTATTGTTTCTATAGTGCCGATGTGTATCGTACCTCTTTATCTGGCTAGCGCTTACCTTATGCTGCAAACAGCTCTTTCATTCCGTAAGATCAGGGAGATGCCACACATCGTTTTTCAGACCCACATAGAAGCCTGGTAGGACCCCGAACCCCAAGTGCTGACGCGAAAGGCGTCTCGCACGTCGTGCCGGTGTTCAGCGAGTTGCCGGTGGCATCTACGACGAGGTTAGAGAGGCAGAGCAGCGGCTGCACATGGCCTTCTTCAGTGGCTTTCAGATCCCACAGTAAAACTAGGGCCTTAATGGATGGTAGAGGGTTCACCAAGCCCTTCGGATAGCATGGAGCTGGAATCTTATCGGGTTGAAGAAGGTCCTGCGCTCTTTGTTTGGGGGCTTAGGGTTCATCGTTGAAGGGTTTAGGGTTTCGGGGAGGGTTTTCGCTATCATGCTTTGAGGTTCAGGGGGGGGCGTAGGAAGCAGGTTCTACCGTGCCTGCTTCTCTGCAACTTATCGGCGTACCCTAAACCCTAAACCCTAAACCCTAAACCCTAAACCCTAAACCCTAAACTGGAACCAATACTCAGTAAGTCCCATGATCCTTCATGTCCTTTCAGTTCTTCGGGGCTTACCAGCGCGCAAGGATGAAGGTACACTGCTTGCAGCGAGCCTAGTATCCCTTAATTCATAAAGAGCATACATGATTTAACGTGAGTCGGAATATAAAGCACGGAATTTGATACTCGTATGTTGTATAGGGTCAGATCTTTTTTAAGGAGCATTGGCTCTCCGGGCAAGGGCTCGGATCGTCTAGCTGAGTCTAGCTTCAGCTATCGGGTTTGGGACAGTGGTCCAGTTGGTTTTCAGGTTACAACGGTCAGGTCTAGCACCTTGTGATGAGGGTTAAGGGTTGGAGGTTCATGGCTTAGGTGGTCAGGGTTTTAGGGTTTACAGTAGAAGCCAGCAAGTTGGAGCAGATGCCCTCCACGGAAAGCTTAGGGAATCCCAGCACTTGTCATCCGAGTTCCATCTTCCAACTTTCTTGGGTTCATAGGTCCAAGGAATCCAACCCGATACAGGTGTCAGGTTTAGAGCCCAGTTATTCAAGAGCTACGGGCATCGGTAGCGTTGGTCGTGCTTGCCCCAGTTTGCCATTTTGCATGCTCGCTGCAAACATGAACATGCAATAATCACTCATCACCTTCTGAAGAATCGTAGATGGAGAATAGAAGCAAGACTGCGATGACGAGCACGACTACTGACAACTGATTACTGGCCTCAACTACTTGTGACTTCTGACTACTGTCGGCAAGCACGAGTACTGCTACATCCTACGATGGCGACTGCTGCAACTGCTGCTGCTGATTCTGACTGCAGACTGCTAACTACTACACACGACGACGAGACAGGGGTCTACCACTACTACTGGCTACTACAGACGACTACTGACCACTAGTGCTAGTACTGACTATACTACTACTACTACTACTACTACTACTACTACTCCTACTACTACTACTACTACTTCTTCTACCACTAC